CCAGGCCTGGTGGCACATGTCTTTAATCTTTAATCTTTAATCAGCACGTTGGAAGCAGAGGCAGGTGGATTTCGAGTTCAAGGCTACCTTGGTCTACAGAACAAGTTCCAAGACAGCAAGTACTATACAGAGAAACCCTGTCTCAAAAAACAAAGCAAAACAAAAAAGGAATTATGATTCTGTCTAGCTGGATTTGGTGGCATATATTTTAATCCTAGCTCTTGAGAGGCCGTGGCAGGCTGCTCTGAGTTCCAGGAGAGCCCAGACTATATAGTGAGTTCTAGGACATAACACAGTGAGGGAGGGAAGGAGAGGGGGAGAGAGAGGGGTGTGTGTGTGTCTGTCTTGTCTCAGAAAAAAAAGGAAGACTAACTTTTTGGCTCAAGCTAATCCTTCTCCACCTGCCAGCACCATGGTGCCTCCTTCGGTGTTCCACACCTTGGCTTCTCCCTCTCTGGTGTTAAGAGCTCTATTTGATTATGGTGTGCGGTTGTTAGGAACATTAGCACAGAGAGTCCAGGTGAGCTTTGTGAAGATGCTTGGTTTGTGCATGGCAGCGGTCTTGGAGGGGCAGATACAGGAGCAATGAGAAGTGTGGGTTCTTGGGTCTGTCAGGATAACACGGAGGCCAAGGTGGCAAATATTGGGGTACAGACTGCTGAGGTGTCAGTGAGGTCAGGTGGTAGGCAGAGAGTAGAGGGGTATACTCATCCAGACCCAAGAGTGTAGTTCAGCCAGCCCTTTCCTGTTGAGTGCCAGTGCCTGTAGAGACACCTCCTGTGTTGGCCACGAATGATCTCCAGACAGACCCGGGGGTTCTTCTGCCTTGTCTTGGAGTTAAAAGGGAACATCCTCCAGGCTTTGCCCCAAAGGATCAAATGACAATAAGAGATGGAGATGGGACATCCCCAGTGCCATGGCTTGATGTCATGTGCATGACCATGGCTCCTAGGCTGTCTTCCTGTCCACTGCAGTTTTTCTTCAATTAGGACATGCAGTCAGGGTGGGTTATTGGAGGTGTGTGTGTCGGGGGAGGAGGACCCAGGTGCAGTGTTAAAGCCAAACCATAATGATTTATCAGGGGAGGTGAATAGTCTCCCTTGAGCTGGTAATTGTGCACTTAAGGGTTACTTAATATTGTTTTAAATGTATGGGTTTGACATAAAAACAGCAAAGCTTTCTGAACTCAGCTAGTGAGGTGCATGATTCTCTTTAGTTTCAAGAAGTGCTCCTTGTTGTGGGAGTGGTAAGTGGGCTCTGCTGGGTCTGTACTCAGTCCTTGTGAGATTCACCTTGATTGACTGGAGGGGCTGCATCCTAGGTTCCCCAGACTGGCTCTTTCTCCATCCCAGCTAGATGTTCTAGGTTTCTGAACTGAAGCCAGGCAGCGTCTGACTGCACAGCCTCCCTATTGGGTGGGGGTGGAGCAAGGGTACCTTCTTGGAAAACCCCTGAGCATAGTAGGTAGGCAGGGAACCACTGGATACAGTGGTAGCAGCAGCAGCTGATGAGTCCAAACACCTCCAGAACAGGAAGTCCTGGAATGTGGGGTAAGTATTTATTAGGTTTTTAAGTGTCACCGTGGCCTGGTAGTTATGTTTAAGGTCTTCTTCAATTTAGAATGGAAATTAGAGAATTGGTGTTTGTTTTTATTATTTTAGAGCTAGTATATGGTTTGGTTGCCTTGCCCATCAGTGGATATGATGCCACTGGAGGTGCATCATATCCATCTTTCTTTTGGTGTTTTTTAAAATTTCTTTCATTCATTCATTCATTCATTCATTCATTCATTCATTCGAGACAGGGTTTCTCTGTATAACAGCCTTGGCTGTCCTGGAACTCACTCTGTGGACCAGGCTGAACTGGGACTCAGATCTGCTTGCTTCTGCCTCCTGAGCGCTGGGATCAAAGGTGTCGCCACCACCTGGCAGCACACCTGCCTCTTGATGACCTGGACTTGAGATCCCATCCTTGCAGGGTTTGTTTCATATATGAAATGTCCATGGTGGGAGGGTGCTTGGTGTAGAAGGCGGGGACAGAAGGCCAAAAATGAGGTTCATTTGAGCGGCTCACAGGTCTGGCCTTCGGGATTTGGAGATGATGACCTTCATGCTAACTGTTACACTGATGGATGTGTGAGTGTGCGTGCAGGCATGTACACTCGTGTAGGTCAGCTTGTGCGAATCCAGTTCCCTTCTGCCACTTGGCTCTCAGGTATTGAACTCAGGTTGCTTGGTGGTCAGCACCTTACCTGCTGGAGCCATCTTGCTGGTCCAGATGTTCAGAAACACTGTGCATCTTAGAGACAGTGGCTGAAATCCCACACTGAAAATTTAATGTCATAACTAGCAGAATTGAGCTAGGGAAAGTAGCGTATACCTCTGATAACAACTGACAGAGGCATGAGGATGGCCTTGAGTTTAATGCTAGCTTGGAGCTATACAGAGATATTTCTAGGTTAACTCTGGAAGTCAGGTGGTCCTCCTGTCTGTCCCATTTTGAGACTGTGAGAGTGTGCCGCTGTGTCTAGATTTGAGACTGAGTGTGTGCCACTGTGTTTAGATTTGAGACTGTGAGTGTGCCTCTGTGCCTAGCTTCTCCATAGGGTGTGAATCTTTACACTTGTGTGGCAAGTGCCTTGTGCCACAGCCACGTGCCCGTGGAGGTTTCTAATGGCGAATGCATTATATGTGTAGGTAAGTTGGGAAAAGAGTTTGTACCTTCTTGCCAAGATAAGGGCACTTGTTTTATTTACTTTTGTGATATTGGAGATAGAACCCAGGCCTGGTGCATGCCAGGCAAGCTTTCTGCCAGAGCTACACCCTAGCTCTGCTGCAGTTGTTTGTTTGTTTATTTATTTATGAGTCAGAAATCTGTCTTGCCCTAGAGTTGAGCCATATTCTTGCTGCAGTTTCTTTTTTTCTTGTACATCATGTTTATTATCCTGTCCCCCCCCCCCGGAGACAGGGTTTCTCTGTATTGTTTTGGAGCCTGTCCTGGAACTCGCTCGGTAGACCAGGCTTGGTCTCGAACTCACAGAGATCCCCTGCCTCTGCCTCGCGAATACTGGGATTAAAGGCGTGTGCCACCAATGCCGGGCTATCATCCTGTTTTACAAACAGATTCTGTTGTGGCCTTAACTTCTGACTGATTCATGTGACTTTGTACACTGGTGGCCCCATGACTCACTGTGGTGAGGGTCCTACTAAATTAGACAATCTACAGATCAAGAACATTCAAGTAGGGGGTTGGCAAGGTAGCTCAGCCAGAAAGTGTTTACCACCACCTGACTATTTAACCTAAATTTGACCCCTAGAACCTATGTGGTAGAAGGCAAGAGGCAGCCCGGACCTGTATATGTCGTTTCCCCGCTTTCCCCCTGGGGGTGGGACTGTAAGGTGGAGGTGTGGGCAGTGTCACCGACTGGGGAGACATGATCAGGCTATGTATTGCTAGCCTGGAAACAAATTGACACTCAGAAAGGTGGCTTCTTCACAATCTATTGCTTTTGTTCCATTGTAAAGTTGAAGTCCTCACAGGGTGGGGTCTGTCTGTGCTGGCCTTGATCCTGCAGAGAAAGGTGCTTGGTCAGCTATGCTAGGGCTTCCTATCCCTGGCAGAGAGACACGTGAGGGTTAACAGCATTTGTTGGATTTCTAGCCTGAACTGAGCCAAAAAGTCAGGCCGTGGTAGTGTCTGTGGCAAGGAACTTACATGGGGCGGGCCTTGTGTTCCTTGATATGCAGAGGTCTCTGTGTATTTTCTCCTGTCTTCACTAGGTGAGTTTTCCTAGAGTGAACCACAAATTACTGGGTCAAGATTAGGAATAAAGGTTTTTCTGGGTGATGGTGGTGGCAGAGGCAGAGGCAGGCAAATGCTGGGATTAAAGGCAAGCTTTTTAATCTCAGCTCTTAAGCAGAGACAGGCAGATCTGTCTCTAAGTTCTAGGTCAGCCAGAGTTACATGGTTGAGTTCGTGTCTTACAAACCCAAAAACTAACTAAATAGAGGTTCCTTTTTGTAAAATTGTGTTTGAGTGTTTTACCTCTATGTATGTGTACCGTGTCTGTGCCTGGTGCCCAAGAAGGCTAGAAGTAGGTGTTGTATCCCCAGAACTGGGGTTACAGAAGGTTGTGAGTTGCCATGTGGGTTCTAGGAACCTAACCCTGGTTGGTCCTCTACAAGAGTAGCCAGTGCTTTTAACTGTTGATTCATTTCTTAAAAACAGACAGAGAGACAGACAGTCATACCAAATTGGTTTCTTATTAGAAATCATTGTCAGTTGTGTGGGCACAGCAAAGAGAGAACAGAGGTGGTGTGGATGCTGGGCAAGCCACATGCATAAAACCCTGAGAGTGGGCTCTCCTGACACCATGGACTCTGGTCTGTCCTCAGCCACTCTGCTGGGATCTTGGACTTTAGCTGCTTGTCTCATCTGCACGCAGGCAGTCTCTTCTTCCCTGGGCACTTCCTCAGGGACAAGCCTATATATACATCTTCAGTGGTGGGGGTTCACAGAGAGGACCTGGCTGATCTGGGCACTGGGCTGCTTTCCTGAGCACCAGACACACCAGGTGTCCCTTTCGTAAGGTGGGGTCTGCCCTAAGGCCATCCCCACTATACTGTTCTGTGACTCCTGGGTTGCTGTGAGGATAGACTCCTTGAGTCATTTACCATGTTGATGTTCTGGGTGTTGGTGGGAACAACCTGTTGTCATGCTTTTGAGAGCTTCAAAGACAGGTCTGCAATGTTGTTCACAGTTTACTTTCCTCCATGTCTGCTAGGCCTTAGAAATTGATTTCCTTGTCTGGCCTCTGTTGTGAAAGGCAGCAATGATATATTTCACTCTTCCTGTGATTGGAGGCCTTCTCTTTGCTTGTGGGTGCTTGAGACAGAACCCTGGCCTTCCTCAAATTTGGCAGACTCTCCCACTGAGCCCCGCCCCTTCACTGGATTTCCAGCCCTTCTTTAAAACTCTGTGTTTTCTGTCTTTTGGTTTAGGTTGGCCTGCACATTGAGCCAGCACATCCACACAAGTTGCCTTTTGACAGAGCTGTGGCCATGGCTGCATAGTAGGCCCAGCGTCCGGGACCGTGAGACCAGGTGAGTGCTGGGGATTCGTGTCTGTGGGATGGAAAACTGACCCAGGCAGCCTTCACACGCCTAATGGAGGCCTGCCTGGAAAGAGAGAAGGAAGAAGGCATAACTGGGATCAGGTGAAGACACCACGTTATTAGTCACTGCTCAAAGACCCGAAGAAGGGGACCAGAAGCTAACCTTTGACCTCCATCTGTGTTGTCTCCTAAATGGGTTTTGATCCCACCCCCCTTTTGGTTTTTTGAGACTGGGCTTCTCTATAGCTTTCTCTGTAGATCTGGCTGGCCTCAAACTCACAGAGATATGCTTGTCTCTGCCTCCTTAGTGCTGGGACTGAGGTGTGTACCACCACTGCCTGGCTGCTGGAGTTGTTCTTCAGTCACTGCCCAGCACTTCTGTGGAAACTTCTGCTTTGTAGAACACAAAAGGGCTGGAGCTCGGCATTTCTGTTACCATCAGGACCTGGCAGTGACACTTTGGCTCAAGGCCATGTACCTGTAAAAGAAAGAATTGAATGGTACCCTAGAAGTAGGACAAGCTTCAAAACCTCCTAGGCTTCATACTGTGGCATGCAGCTCAAAATAGGCAGGTGCCTTGTCAATGGCTCATCTCCACCCGATGGCATCTGGTTGGCTGTGTGAGACTCAGTTGTTCTGATGCCCCCTGCTATGGTGGACACAGGCTGTGACGGTGTTAGGGTTAGAGGCTTGCTTTATTTTTAATTTTTTTTCTTAGGTTAATTCATGTGTGTGAGTATTATGCCTGCATTGTCTGTGTAACAGTTGTATGTCTGGTACCTGAGGAGGTCAGAGGAGGCATCAGGTCCCTGGAAACTGGAGTTAAGGATGGCTGTGAACCACCATGTGGGTGTTGAGATTTGAACCTGGGCCCACTGCAAAAGCAGAAAGTGCGCTTAACCTTTGAGCCATTTCTCCAACCCCATATATAGTTTTTTGAACAGGGTGTCACCATATAGTCCAGGCTAGCCTTGAACTCACCTTCATCTTTTGCCTCAGACTCCCAAGTGCTCAGATTACAAGTGTGTACCACTAGCTCTGCCTTGTTTCTTGAGCGAATATTTTATTTTGTAGCCCCAGATGAACTAACTCCTGCCTCCTCTAAGTTTATATTTTCTGGGTTACATCCTGCTTTAATAGTAGGCCACACTTTTATTGCAGCTGGGACCTCTTTTGATTCCCAGTTGTTAGTGTACTAGGCAACTCTTGCACCTTACCAAGGTGTACACAGACCACACGTGCACCCTGGCAAGTCTTTCTGCTTGCTCAGATTCATGGACAAGGTGTTTGTCCCTGAATCTCTCTTGCTGGGGGGTTTAGTTTGAGCTGGATATTACAGATTCTAAGTAAGGAGTGGCTTTAGAAAAGCATATGCTAGCTTGAGTACTCAGGGGCAAAGACAGGCAGATCTGTTAGTTCTAGGCCAACCTGGTGTACAGAGCAAGTTCCAGAACAGTCAGGGCTACACAGAGAAAACCCTCAGCCTAAAGAAGGAAAAGCATGTGCTTTCCAGAGAAAGTAGTGCAGACAGTGCCCTAGGTCACAGCTTGGTCAGCATTGTCTTCTTGCTAAGAATTGTGTATGTGGCAGAGTCCCTGAGATGTCTTTGCTGGAAAATACCCACCTGTGGGCTCTGGCTGTTCCATCATAGACCACTGTATGTTTACCCTAGAACCATCTTCCAAAACTATCCTGTGGGTGATGGGAAAAGATTGTGACATGGGAGCTTGTTCCTATGCCAGCACTGGGGTGAAGGAGGTGGGGACAAAATTAGGGGAAAGGAGTAGATGACACAACACTGTCTGGAGCTTCCCTTGGATGTGAGCTCCTGGACTCTGTCATCTTTAGTCCTATAGAAAGCTCAGCATGAATCCATTTTCCTAAGGAAAGGTGTGTGTGCATTTACTTTTTTTTTTTTTTTTTTTTTTAACGAGACAGGGTTTCTCTGTATTGTTTTGGAGGCTGTCGGTCCAGCCCGGCCTCAAACTCACAGAGATCCGCCTGCCTCTGCCTCCCGAGTGCTGGGATTAAAGGCGTGCGCCACCACCGCCTGGCTTCAAGTTTTTAGTTTTAGGGTAAAAATGTGTGCATTTTTTTCCCCTATGAGAAACTGTAGAAGAAACAGATGTCTCTAAGGACCAAAAGAGAAGGGCAGAATTTGAATCAAACTTGATCACTGAACATGGCGGTTGTGTTAGAAGGGCCCACACGAGCACCTCAGTGGCGTGGGCGGTTCCCAGGGTTAGGTGTGGCAGTAGAGTGCTAGCCTAGTGAGACCTGGCTTCATCCCTAGTACCACATAAAGGAGAGACAGCTCATGGGGAAGCCAGGGGCCAGTCACCTCCTTGGAAGACTGAAGCAGGAGGACCATTGGGCCTGGGAGTCTAGGCCAGGCTGGGCAGCAAAGTGAGACCCTGCTTCTAAGTAAATTAAAAATGTGAAGTCTTCAAGCTCATATTTGTGCTTAAAGAAAAAGAAGCTGATCAGTCCCTGGTTCCCTTTAGAGGATGTTTGGGAGCCAGTGCGGGTCTCACATGTGAAGGAGACGATGGTAGATCTGTACCCTGCTTCTCTAGACTGAACTTGATAGCACCAGGATGCAAGGGGAGGCCCATCAGTGGACCACAGAACCTGTGGGCTGGTTCTTGTGTAGACCTGACTAGTCTCTTGGCCATGGACATGTCATCATGGCATTACTACTACTATGGGGTATGCATTTAGGGTCAGCAAAATGGCTCAGGTAAAAATACTTCACCCCAAGTCTGGGGTCTATGGGTAAGAAGTCTTCATCCTGAGCCCAGGGTCTTACACCCCTCCCCTGACCCCCAGTCTCATAGTGGCTGTGAACTCCTGAACCTATGCCTCAGCCTCAAGCTGGACTTTGGCTGAGTATATTGTGAGTATCTTCAGTGCTTTTCAGAATTAATTAATTCTTTGATTTTTAAAATTGTTAGTGATGAGAAGGCTACTTCTCAAAAATACATAGTATAAAATGGTAGGAGTGTGTTTAGGACTATTTCATACATTGTTGGAACTCAGTTCTAATCCCAAGCCAAAAATTTATTTAATGATTTTTATAAAATTCAAGCTTGCAGTTAAAATATCAGGATTGTTTTGTTTTCTTTTAAGCCAGAGTCCCATTAAGTAATGTTAGCTGGCCTAGAACTCAACTGTGTAGTTCAGGCTGGCCTCAAACTCCAGGTCTACCTATCTTCTCTACAGTGCTGGGATCAAAAGGTGTGCGTTACCACATCCAACCCCTCCCTCCCTCCCTCCCTCCCTCCCTCCCTCCCTCCCTCCCTCCCTCCCTCCCTCCCTCCCTCCCTCCCTCCCTTTTTCTTTCTTTCCTTTCTTGAAAAATGCCCCTAATAGACTTGCTTATAGGCCAGTCTGATAGAGGCCCTGCCACCACGTCACCCCCCCCTTGGTTTTTCAAGATAGGGTTTCTCTGTGTAGACCAGGCCACCCTCAAACTGGGAGATCCTCCTGCCTCTGCCTCCCGAGTGCTGGGATTAAAGGAGTGCGCCACCACCACCCGGCTAAGTTTTTATTTTTGTACACGTGTGTGCCCACACATGCTGTGTGGGTGCGAGCTCAAGGTCAGAAGAGGGCAGCTCCCAGAGCTTGTTGGCAGGCCTTGTGAGCTGTTAGTCACTTGCAGGACTGCAAGAAATAACTATCCAGGTGTTCTCCCCTTTTCTGGATTGACATGTCATTTTGTTTTTCGTTATTGTGGGGGGCAGCTATGAACACAGACACTCTAAGCAAGCTCCGTTGACTATCCATAGCCATAAGAGATTTCCTGTGTCAGTAAGATGTTCTGGATACCCCAGGCTCTCTCAAAGAGACTTTGTTTCACTGTTTTTTTTTTTTTTTTCTTCCGTAATTTGGGTTTTTGAGACCGTTTCTCTGTGTAGCTGTCTTGGAACTCACTCTGTAGACCAGGGTGGACTTGAACGTTGAGGTTTGCTTGCCTCTGCGTCCCAAGCTGGCTGGTAGAAGTCTTTGATGCACACCCTTTTAATTGATACAGACTAAATTATCTGTTAGTGTGTAAATGTTTGTATATCTGCATGCATGCTTATGTGTGCCTAGAGGCCAGAGGATCGATGGGTGCTCAGTGTCCCTTAGGTGCTATTCACCTTGTTTGCTGATAAAAGATCTTCACTGGCCAAGCAGTTAGCTGCACTCATGCCATCGTCTTAGCTTTTCAACAGGGCTTTATGGGAGAAGCAAGACCAGCGCTTCTCCCTAGCCTCAGGCTGCCTTTTTTTGCTGTTGATAGTTTTTGTGCTCCCCCATCCCCCCAGGATTTCTTTGAGTAGCCTGACTGTCGTAGAGCTTGCTCTGTAGACCTGGCTGGCCTTGAGCTCAAGAGATCTGTCTGCCTCTGCCTCCCAAGTGCTAGGATTATTGGCGTGTACCGCCTCCACACTGTCCTGTCCTGTTGATAGTTTTTGGTGAGATATGTGAGAACTTATTGCCAACTCCAACGATAGGAAGTTTCACTCTTGGTTTCTTTTGAAGATATAGGTCTTTAATTCATTTTGAGTGGTTTCTGTTTATTTTGTGTTTTGATGGGTTTTTGAGACAGGGTTTCTCTGTAGCCCAGGCTGCCCTCCAACTCACTCTGGAGCAGACTGGCTTCAGACTCAGATTTACCTATCTCTGTCCCATGTGCTGGATTAAAGGTGTGCACCACCACACCTAGCTGTTTCTTTTTTCTTTATTGTAATAGTGTCTCAATATTTCTAGCCCAGGCTATATTTGAACACACAGCAGTCTTCCTTTTTTCAGATTCCCGTGTGCTGGAAATTCCTATGTGGTACTATGCCTGGCTTGATTTACCATTTCTAGATGCCTTGCTCTGCTGTTCAGGCTGCTTGTGGAGAACTGGACTGCAACAGTGTTGCATGGACTGCTGGCTTCTGTGGGTTTTCAATCATTATCTTCTTTCTTGGCATGAAGACTCTGGCTTAGTTTACAGGA